ATATATATATATATATATATATGACTGAAATATAAACACACTTATAAAATATTGGCTGATGACTTATCGTCCTTACTGTGATTTGGCTTTGCTGATCTCAGTAAGAAATCACGCAGTTCATTTCGTCTGCCAGTTCCTCCTCAAACCGCGATAGATGACTGGCTCCTCTCGCGATCAGGTCAGCAGCGGCGCTCTCCATTTCGTCCAGACTCATGTGACACGCTTCGGCAATCTCCCGCTTGGCAAAGCTTACAAATTTTGGATCCCTGGCATAGATGCCCAGGCCCTCAGAGAACAAGATCTGTTGTTGAAATGGTTGGCGACAAGATTATATATTTAGCAAGCAGACAATGACATCACAAGAACAAAGAGAACTGAAAGGATGGCAAACATTTTCCCTACCATGTCCTCTGAGTTGTAAATTGTGTTATGTGACTCAAGAAAGTCAGCAAATATACTTAAAGAATAAAATAAACTTAGGAACTATTTTTGTTGCCTTTTGATTCATCCAAGTTACATACAGTGTACGATTCTTCGGATGAAGGGAGAAATATACCTAAGCATTTATGCTCTATTTGTATATTATTATTATTATACTCTGCAGGTTTTCGGCCAGAAATTCAATACTCTGCACACTCTCAAATTGTCAAATAGTTAATAGCTAGAATATTATAATTAGTGTACACTTTAATTAACTGGATGTAGGTCACGTTGTAGACACTCCTGGGATTTAGCATGCTGAGGTGAGTGAATCTTTATTAGCATAGATTGAGCATGTGCCTTATGTAGCATGGGATTATATAAAATTATACTTGGATCATTAATACATTTGAGTAGATTCTCCCTGAATTCCATTGCTGCCGTTCACAGGAGCAATACAGAGAATAAGGGGACCCACAGTTGTAATCCTTAACCTGCTGATTTTTATATATTTTTTCAGAGATTTGGAGCCAGTTAGGTTTAGCTGTTGGTAATGCTTCACCAAAGCTAGCCCATCTCGCTATGGTAACATAATCCTAGGCAAATATGCAATACATTTTTTTTGGGGGGGGACCACAGTAGAACTCCATCTGGTGGGTTTTTTAAGGATACTTTTTTTCGTTATGCTTAAAAGGGAACTAGAGGAAGTGACCGACCCAAAATGGTAGAACATAATGCCACAACCTTTCTATGGAAAGCGGAGAAACCTTGATACGTTGTTGTGTTTGGACGGGATTTGTCCGTAAGTATTTCTTAATGTTTAACATAACAGCTGTTTCTTTGATTGAGTATGATGCTAACGTAATTTGTATATGTAAATTGTTGGAGAATATTGTTGTTGTAAGGTTGCAATGCTAGTTAGCTCATACCATGTTTTGTATATTCCAGGTTTATGATGGTGAAAGAGAAGACAATGGTCAGAGGCCATTCTTCAATAAACAACCAAGAAACCACAGAGGACAAGATTGTTTATTGGAGCATTGTTATCTAGCTGTCTAGCTGATGAAGAACAGTTGGGTTTTTCTTTGGTTTGGTCACACTTTGCTCCAACTGTTATGCCACAAATTAAGTTCTTTGGTGCCTCATCTACATGGGTTAGGTTCTTGCATCAGTATCTATTCGAAGTGTTTTTTTTATTAGGTTTTCAGTTGGCCTCAGTAGAAAGTTGCTTACACTGAGCCCTGCTCTGCTTTAGTTTTCTTCCTGTTAAAAGGGAGTTTTTCCTCTCCACCCTCGCTGCATGCATGCTTAGTGTGAGAGGTTTCTGTAAAGGCAACAACAAAATGCAAGCCAATATCTACTGTGGCCACATGCTCATTTAATCCTGCAAAGTTAATGACTCAATGCAATCAGCTGGTTTTCTGTATGATCTGACTGAGCTGTCTCTGTAAGGTGCGTAGCATATTGTGAATTGGTCCTATATAAACAAACTGAATGAATTTTGAATTTTGTTTTGAATTATTTGCATTTGCCTAAATGGGAGAAATACAAAAAAAAACCAAAAGGATAATTATAAGGAAAGCTTACCGATTCGACCAGACTGTCAGCACTGCCTTTATCTATGAAGCCCTGGTTGACAGATGGTGGCATCCTCACACTGGTGAAGGTCCTGGTCTGACCAGGGTACCAGCCTTGACGCTTCCCAGCAGGAAGACTGGCAGAGCCGTCACACCAGAGCGGCTGACTGGCACCACTTTCTTCATCCACCAGGATCATGGGGGTGTAGATGAGCTTGCCTCGGCGCGCTGACGGGGCAATTATTCCTGGAAGGGGAGTAGCACCAGCTGCAGCTGTGTTAGCCCAGGAGGCAGACGACATGGAGGACACACTGCTTGGTCGTGAGTCCAGGCCGGGGTGGTTCTGACAGAAAGGAGAAGTTTTTAAAAGCTGCCTAAAAAAAAAAAAAAAAAAAAAAAAAAAA